GTGGGGGGCATGTGTGCTTGTGTTTTTGTGGGGGGTGGGGGGGGGGTGGAAGAGTGGGGGAGTCTTATAGTGTCCTGGCCTCACTGGTGGACCTCCTGATGGCACCTGGTATTTCTGGCCACTGTGTGACACAGTGTGTTGGACTGGGTGGGCCACTGGCCTGATCCAACATTGGCTTCTCTTATGTTCTAACACCACAGTGCTGCTTGTGGAGTATCGTCAGGAGCCTGATCTTTTGGGGGGCTGCCAGGTGGGCACAAAGCTGCCACCCTCCTGCCGTTATGTAGGGTAGAGTCTGAGAGCTTTGGTGGTCCTCTCCCCCTGCTCACGCAACAGATCACTGTGGTGGTACCCTGTGAGTTCTGCACCAGTCTCTGCCACAATTCCTGCTAACAGGCCCCATTGTTATTCTATGGGTTAGTGGAAATAGAGAGACTGTATGGGGAGCAGCACGACCTCTCTTTGTTATGTTCGCCCCCCCCCCCACAACCCGCATGCTTTCTTCCACCACCCTGACCTGGAAGGCTGATGGCCCAGGGGGCTGTTCGGGTTGGTTTGGAGGAGGCTCCCTGTGTGGGGGTCGAGAGACCTTTTCCCACCGTGCCCTTTCTGCCCCCTCCCCCCCCACCTCAGGATGCTGCACATGGACCGGCGCATCTTGCAGAACGCCGTGCGCAACGTCTTGGACGGGGAGCTGCTCAACCGCTACCTCTACCTCAGCACCATGGAGCGCAGCGAGCTGGCCAAGAAGATCGGCACCACACCCGACATCGTGAGTAGGAAGCGGGCAAGGCCGGCGAGTCGCCTGGGTGCAAGGGGGGGGGGGGATCCGGGCCAGCAGGAACTTCCCCGCTGAGTCTTGTTGCCCGTCGGGCCGTCTCTTCACGTCACGGAGGGTTTCGAAGGCCCTGCCCCCCCCCCCAGGGTGGGGGAGTGACTGCCAAAGCCCCCGTGCTGCTCGGCTTCTCCCTCTTCGTCGGTCTGTCCCGGCTCTTCATTGTGGGGTGACATGTGGGATTCAAAACCCCACGAGTGATTCCTGGTCTCATCTACATCTCAGCCAGGTCTCAACTTTGGAAGCTCACAGCAAGCAGGCTGGGAGGGGTGGGGAGGCCAAACACGTGCCAGCCAGTGCGAGCTCAAAAGCAGACTGCGGCAAACAGCCAGCTGCCCCTGCGGGGGATGCCTGTAAGGTGGGAACTGGAGGGAAGGATCCCCCCCACCCCAGCAATGCAATTCAGGGCAGGGCTGCTTTTCTGTTGCCCGGAGCAGAGGCTAGAGAAGAAGGGGAGGGAGAGATTTGGATTTACACTCCCCCCTTCACTACCCAAAGGAGTCTCAGAGCAGCTCACAATCTCCTTTCCCTTCCCCTCCGCACAACAGGCACCCTGTGAGGTAGGTGGGGCTGAGAGAGCTCTCTCTCGAGGGCTGCTCCTGAGAGAACAGCTCTGAGAGAACTTGTGTCTGACCCAAGGTCACACCAGCAGCTGCATGTGGAGGAGTGTGTTATCAAACCCGGCTCACCCAGATTAGAGTCCGCGCACTTAACCACTGGACCAAGCTGGGCCTCACTTCTTGCCGGGTTTCTGCTCCCGCCTTTCTAAGGAGTCCGTGTTTTCCCCCCTCTGCAGATCCTGGAAGACTTGCTGGAGATCGATCGCGTCACGGCTCATTTCTAGGGGGGAAGGGGGTTCATCTCACACACCCCAACCCCGGAGTTGTAAATTCTTTCCAGTTCAGATTTATTTGTCCTTTACGTCTATGTCTTTTGAGGGTGTGTTTTTTTGTACAAAACGGATCTAAGTATTTGTAAAGAAAAGTCAAAACTCTCAGTGGCTGGGCTGCTTGTTTGTGGGACTGGGCGCGAGGTGCACATGGGAGGGAGGGGGTATTATGGGATTCTCAGGGGGGCGAGAGAGGCTGGGCTTCAGCCACTGGGCGGGTGGCACGACGGGGGGGGGGGCATCTTGAGACTCAGGAGGGCACCAGAGCCTCACTTTCGTGTGGAAGGGGGCAAAACACCCTCAGACAAAAAAACCCTTTATGGAACTGCCCCATTCTACAGTGCTCAAACGTCCTGCTGCCATCCCCGTTGAAGGACGGGTGACCACCAATGTTCCCTCTAAGCTGTGGAGTCTTGTGAGCAAAAAACATACTTTGTGAGCTCCGGGCATTAAAGTTTTGAGCGAGCGATTTGGCTACTGCATCAGTCAGTTTGCTCTGGAGCCCCATCCTTCCTGAGCAAAGCCAAGAATGTGCAAGCTGGAGGCTAAAGAACTGTGAGCTAGCTCACACTCACTCAGCTTAGAGGAAACACTGGCTGCAATGCTCCCTCTGAGCTGTGGAGTCTTGTGAGCAAAAGTTCTACTTTGTGAGCTCCTGGCATTAAAGTGGTGAGCGAGCGATTTGGCTGCTGCATCAATCAGTTTGCTCTGGAGCCCCATCCTTCCTGAGCTAAGACAAAAATGTGTGAGCCGGAGGCTAAAAAACTGTGAGCTAGCTCACACTCACTCAGCTTAGAGGGAACACTGTGAGCTGCTGGCATTAAAGTGGTGAGCGGGCGATTTGGCTGCTGCATCAATCAATTAGCTCTGGAGCCCCATCCTTCCTGAGCAAAGACAAAAATGTGTGAGCCGGAGGCTAAAGAACCGTGAGCTAGCTCACACTCACTCAGCTTAGAGGAAACTCTGGTCCCCACGATCGCCTCTTGTTCCAGCAGGGGAGGGGAGATGCCATTTCCCCACCTCCTGCGGTAATCTGGCCACGGGCAAAGGGGAGAGATGCCCCCGGCTGTCACTGGGTCTCTTCGGCAGGGTGGGAAAGAGAACCGGCCCCTTCTCAGGGAGAGACCCCAGCTGGTGCCTCCCCCCATTTAATCAGGACTGTGGCCTGGCAGCCTCCATGGCTTGCCCTGAAGGGCCTCTGCTGCTTCCTGCTGCTGTGGTTCCCGAACCAGGGAAGAAAAGTGGCCCCTCTCCTTGCAGGGAGAAGGACCGGCCGGCCGGCCGCTGTGCAAGCTGGCTCCAGGGGAGGTGGGTGCGCAGAATACCTTCAGCTCTCTCGACGGCAGCAGCTGTTGCCAGATGCAGAATGCCAGAGTGACCAGGATTTTATTATTCACAGTAGAAGGTCCTTTTGCCATTCCTAGCCGTGAAGGCCCCCCCCCCCGCCCTAGGCCAGGCCCGTCTATGAGGTTCTGACCCGGGGGGGGGGGGGCCGGCCTACGCCTGCAGGTACTCGTAGATCTGCTCCTGTTCCTCTCTGTCTCCCAGGAAGCCGGCGAACACCAGGAAGCGCAGGAGTGAGGTAGTCAGCCTCATGGAGGCTATCTGCAGCCTGGGGTGGGGGGGCGGAGAGAAGGAACGGGTCAAGCAAGGGTAGCTTTGCAGGGGCCCCCCTCCCCCAGAAGCTGGGCTTGCTCTCTTCTCGAAGGGCAGCAGCCCCTCCTCTGGCTGAGAACACACCCTGCCCCCCAAAAAAACCCTTGCTGGTGGTGGGAAGCGCTGTAAAGTCCGCAACCAACAACGGCAACCCTGTGGGGCTTGCAAGGCAAGAGACGTGCAGAGAGGTGGTTTTGCCACTGGCCGCCTCTGCATGGGGACCCTGGCCTTCCTCTGCTTTGCTTCCAAGGACGGGCCGTCCAGGTCAGGCCAGAGACATTCAGGGGTAGTTTTGCCACAGCCTGCCTCTGCGTGGGGACCCTGGCCTTCCTCTGGGGGCTCTCCCCTCCTAGTCCTTGCCAGGGCTGGCCCTGCTTTGCTTCCAAGGACGGGCCGTCCAGGTCAGGCCAGAGACATTCAGGGGTAGTTTTGCCACAGCCTGCCTCTGCGTGGGGACCCTGGCCTTTCTCCAGGAGTTCTCCCCTCCTAGTCCTCGCCAGGGCTGGCCCTGCTTCGCTTCCAAGGACGGGCCGTCCAGGTCAGGCCAGAGACATTCAGAGGTGGTTTGCCACGAACCCTGGGCTTCCTCCAGGGGCTCTCCCCTCCTAGTCCTCGCCAGGGCTGGCCCTGCTTTGCTTCCAAGGACGGGCCGTCCAGGTCAGGCCAGAGACATTCAGGGGTAGTTTTGCCACAGCCTGCCTCTGCGTGGGGACCCTGGCCTTCCTCTGGGGGCTCTCCCCTCCTAGTCCTTGCCAGGGCTGGCCCTGCTTTGCTTCCAAGGACGGGCCGTCCAGGTCAGGCCAGAGACATTCAGGGGTAGTTTTGCCACAGCCTGCCTCTGCGTGGGGACCCTGGCCTTCCTCTGGGGGCTCTCCCCTCCTAGTCCTTGCCAGGGCTGGCCCTGCTTTGCTTCCAAGGACGGGCCGTCCAGGTCAGGCCAGAGACATTCAGGGGTAGTTTTGCCACAGCCTGCCTCTGCGTGGGGACCCTGGCCTTCCTCTGGGGGCTCTCCCCTCCTAGTCCTCGCCAGGGCTGGCCCTGCTTTGCTTCCAAGGACGGGCTGTCCAGGTCAGGCCAGAGACATTCAGGGGTAGTTTTGCCACAGCCTGCCTCTGCGTGGGGACCCTGGCCTTTCTCCAGGAGTTCTCCCCTCCTAGTCCTCGCCAGGGCTGGCCCTGCTTCGCTTCCAAGGACGGGCCGTCCAGGTCAGGCCAGAGACATTCAGAGGTGGTTTGCCACGAACCCTGGGCTTCCTCCAGGGGCTCTCCCCTCCTAGTCCTCGCCAGGGCTGGCCCTGCTTCTGAGTTCTGACAAACCTTACCTGAGCGCCAACTCAAACTTGAGGCTTGCCCAGAGAGAGCGGATCCAGCGGACGAAGAAGAGCCTACTCAGGCCGAGCTGCTTCTGGGCGATGCTTCGGCTCCAGCACTTCACCGCACTGGAAAGGGGGGGGGGGAGACACAGATTCCAGCCTGAACACCGCCGGCCCAAAGGGGACTCAGCCACGGCAACGGGCCTTTTCTCTTTCCCCTCAAGCAGGGCCTGGTCTCGCAATCTGCCATCTTTCCCGTGTTGGATTTCAACGGGGTTTTATTTTAAACGGATACACGCGAAGCTGTTCTTAGGCAGAATCCAACAAACAAAACGGCTGTGCAACCCGCTAATTAATGCATGAAAGTATTATTCTTACATGGTTCATACAATATCAGTAATCCATAAAGTACTCTAAAGGCATTACATCATACATTCAAAAATTACATCATATACAAAACCGTACAAAAATATCAATTTTTAGTAGAATGTTCTATAAGGTAAAGGGTTTCCCTTCCTTGAAAGCCAGTTGAATCCGACTCTAGGGGGCGGTTCTCATCCCCGTTTCCAAGCTGAAGAGCCAGCGCTGTCTGAAGACTTTCGTGGTCCTGTGGCCAGCATGACTAAATGCCGAGGTGTATGGAATGCGGTTACCTTTCCCACCGAAGAGGTACCTATTTACCTACTTGCAGTTTCTTGCTTTCAAACTGCTAGGTTGGCAGGAGCTGGGACCAGAGACGTCATGTGGCACTCGGGTCTTGAGCTGCCGAACTAAAGACCTTCCAGTCGGCAGCTCAGTGTCTTAACCTCTGAGCCACCGCGGCCCCAGAATGTTCTGTTGTTGTTCAGTCGCACAGTCGAGTCCGACTTCGCGACCCCATGGACCAGCTCCCGCCAGGCCCTCCTGTCTTCCGCCGTCCTCTGAACTTTGTTTAATTTCATGAATGTTCTGTAGTGAGGTCCAAAATTAAATAGAGTATTCTAACGAAGTTTCCGGATAATATGTTCGTTTCTGAGATCTTCCTCAGAGAAGGACCGATACAACAGCAGTAACTGTTTTCTCATATAACTCTTCAGACACGTGTAAGTTGGTGGTATGAAGTGCTGCAGCTTTCATTAAGTAGTACTGATATTCTTAACTGACTAGTCTGAAGAGTTATAAGAGAAAACAGTTACGGCAGTTATATTGGTCCTTCTCTGAGGAAGACCTCGGAAACGAACATATTATCTGGAAACTTTGTTAGAATATTCTATTTAGTTTTGGACCTCACTATAAAACAGGCTACTAAAAATTGATATTTTTGTACGGTTTTGTATATAATGCAATTTTTGAATGTATTATATAATGTCTTTGGAGTACTTTATGGATTATTCGTGTAAGAATAATATTTTCATGCATTAGAAGAAGAAGAGGAGACTGGATTTATACCCCGCCCTTCACTACCCAAAGGAGTCTCAGAGTGGCTTACAAACTCCTTTCCCTTCCCCTCCCCACAACAGGCACCCGGTGAGGTGGGTGGGGCTGAGAGAGCTCTGACAGAAACGGCTCTTTTTCAAGGACAGCTGTGCCAGAGCTTGTGACTGACCCAAGGTCACATCAGCCGGTGCAAGTGGAGGAGTGGGGAATCAAACCCGGTTCTCCCAGATCAGAGTCCGCGCACTTAACCACTACACCAGACTGGCTCTCTTCGTCAGCTATCTTGGAAACCTTGTTGGTCTCTAAGACAAGGGTGTCGAACTCATTTGTTACGAGGGCCAGATCTGACATGAATGCGCCTTTGTCGGGCCGGGCCACGTGTGCCATAAAACGTATCGCCAGGTACCGGAGATATAAACTGTATAAAGGACAGCAGCTGGTGAGCCCTGAGTTGTTGTATCCGCACTGCAAGGGCCTCATGGGCTGGGAGCGGGGTGCAAAGGAAAACCCACACGGGCGGACTGGAGAGCCAGCGGTGCAGCACTGGGCAGACGCTCCCACGCTGCTTGACGGCTGCAGACGAGGTTGTTCCGCCAAGCTGAAGCCACAGTTAGCGTGGTTACATCCACTTCCTCCCGAGTAGTCTACTGTTCCCTCCCTTGCACTAGTTGCGAGCCGCAGAAGAAGAAGAAGAGAAGAGATTGGATTTATACCCCGCCCTTCACTTGGAGTCTCAGAGCGGCTTACAAACTCCTTTCCCTTCCCCTCCCCACAATAGACACCCTGAGAGGTAGGTGGGGCTGAGAGAGCTCTTTTGAGGACTGCCCTTGAGAGAACAGCTCTGAGAGAACTACGGCTTGGCCAAGGTCACATCAGCAGGTGCAAGTGGAGGAGTGGGGAATAAAACCCGGTTCTCCCAGATTAGAGTCCGCACTCCTAACCACGACACCAAACTGGCCTTGGATGGACCGGTTCTGGCCCCCGGGACGTATGTCTGACACCCCTTCTCTAAGGTGTTACTGGGCTCCAAGAGCCAAGACGGAAGCAGACAAGCGTCCGCTTTACCAAACTTCCACTCTGGCACCCGGCCTCGATTATACCTTGTGCTTTGTGTGCCATCTCGAGTAAGTGAGCCAAGCCGTACAGCGCCAACCGAAAGCACCGACGGCAACCGGGGCAGGTGTTGGGGGGCCTGCCGCGTCGGCCCAAAGCGGTCCCTGCCCAGCCCTCTGCGTTCAACGAGGCCTTTCTGAATCGCCGCGTGTGGGGCCCACCTTTTGGCCATGATGTAGTAGCGGTCCACGGGGGCCCCCAGGGCCACGTTGACGCCCCGGACGGTGTTGATGTTGCGGAAGACGAGCAGCATGGAGCGCGGGAGGTCCTTCAGCACCTGCATGATGCGGTCGAACCGGTTCTTGGCCATGTCTCGCATGTAGTCGTTCTCTTCCCGCGTCGGCAAGTTGGGCGTGCCCAGCTGGGCCAGGTGGATGGGCCGCTGGAGTAGAATCTCGCAGAACAGGAAGTAGTCCTCAGCTGTCAGGGAAGTTGGGGGGGGGTGTTGAGAAGCAAAGGGTTGCCCTGCCCCCCCTCCCTCCCCCCCTCCCCAGGGTGAGTCTCAGAGCAGGTTACAATCACCTTCCCGTCCTCTCCTCACAACAGACACCCCGTGAGGTAGATGGGGCTGAGAGAACTCTCTGGAGAGCTATCCTTGAGAGAACAGCTCTGAGAGAACTTGTGACTGACCCCAGGTCACCCAGCTGGCTGCAATGTGGGGGAATCAAACCCGGTTCTCTCAGATTAGAGTTTGCCGCTTTTAACCACCACATCACACTGGCTCCCCAACCTTTGTGAGCCTGTGGGCACACCTTAGGAATTCTGACACAGGGCAGTGGGCGCAGCAGGAGGCGGGGCCAGCCACAAAAATGCCCGCCACAACTTCCCTTCAGTCGCCCATCGAAGATCCTTGCGCCGTGGAGGCGGCGGCTGCCAGACTGAAGTTTTCAAAAACCTGCACAGCCAATCGAAACCCTTGCTGGGCGATGGCCCCACCTGGCCCTGCCCAGTTTGAAAAACACTTGGTGGGTACCACGGTTGGGGACCCCTGGCCCAGAGCCCAGGTGGCTGCTTTGACCTTTGCCCTCTGTCTCACCCTCTCTGGCAGCAAGAAGAGAGGGCAGCCTCCAGGTGGCATCCTCGTGGCTAGAGATGTGAAGGCCCAGAAAAAACCCGGAAAAATTCAGGAAAAAATTGTTTTTTTTCCGTTTTTTTCCTGAAGCTT